CACAGTCAAAAATAAACTACAGTCACAAATAAACACACACACACACATACAGTAGTCACAAATAAACACACACACACACACACACACACACACACAGATGAGAGCTTCAAAGATGCCCCATTTTTTAAGAGCACTGGCTGCTCTTCCACAGAACTAGAGCTTAATTCACAGCCCCTACATGGCAGCTCACAACCACCTGTAACACCAGCTCCAGGGCAGCTGACACCCTCTTCTGGCCTCTGCAGGCACCAGGCATGCATGTGGTACACAGATATACGCAGGCAAAACACCCAAACATATAAAGTCAGAATGAGTCTTTTTTAAAAACTAAAGTTTAAAAAGCACACGACCTTGAACAAGTCACTCCCCTCTTCACTTTTCCAGCAGCCAAGCATTTCTGATCCCAGAGCGACATGCCAATGACAGAGCAAGGAACGGAACACGAATCCCACTCTCAAGGCGGCCCAAGGGGCAAGCCTTCACTCTTTCATTCACAGAAGGAAGGAAGTCGCGGCACCTCTGGCACTGGGCAATCACAAGCATGACAAGCATAAAGGGTGCCAGGGGCTCTGCAGCAGCCAGCTCCACGCTCTGAGAGGAGGGGATCGGCGGCTGTACAGCACTGCATATTACTTTATACAGTGTATGTTCCAAAACGTCCTCAATCATCTGCCTATTGTTGGACATTTAGTCCCAATTTGCTGCTATTATAGACTAGCTCTGACGGGGATTCATCCAAAGGAATTCATTCAAAAGAAAAATGCCAGATGCTCATAAGATGCTGCCCAGCCCATGGAATGATTGACAGGAGACCAGCCCTTCTCTATCTCATCAAGCCTCAAGCTGAATTCTCTGTGGCTCTCCCCACCCCCACACTGTTCCTCCCTCAACCTGGCAAGCCACATGCCATCCCACGGAGGGACATCTTAGTGCAGCTTCTCATCCCGAGGCTCCAAGAGGAGGCTTCTCTGCAAGGTCACAGTCTGCCCCTTCTTTGTGGGCCACACACCTGCCAAAGAGACCTTCCTTCCCCAAACACCCTCCTACCACGGTCCTCCGCAGGCCAAATCCTTCCAAAGGTCCCCAGAACCTCCAGGCTCACGTCCAGCTCAAATACCTCAGCCTGACATTTAAGAGACAGAAGGGAAAGAGGAAAAAAATCCTTATAGAGTGGCTGTGATGTGCCAGCACCATGGAGAGTCTTTATGTAATAACCACCATGAGGGTCCCACAGCCACATTTCACAAATGAAGAAAATGAAGCCCAAACCAGCTAAGTGATGTTCCCAAGGCCACAGCGCTGATACCGAGCAGAGTGAATTCCAGAGCTTGCTCAGAGTCGTAAGCACAAGCTGACTTTCTGAGTCACCTCTCAGCTCCTTGGGCCCTCCCTGGACTCTGTTCTTCAAAGCCATCCACTTCCCTCCACACCCCTACAGCGTTCAAACTCTTACCTGGCGTTAGTGTCCAGCTTAGGGGGCCAGCTCTTCTTGAAGCCTTCCCTGAGCATCAAAATGGGCAGATATACTATATAGCGTACTCTTACTTCTGGGGCCAGGATGGCTCTGTCATCCATGACTTGCTCAGATTTTTAGAGGGGTGTGTGTGTGTGTGTGTGTGTGTGTGTGTGTGTGTGTGCACATTTGTGGATGTGGGCGTGTGTGCCATGGCATGTGCATGGCAGCCAAAGGACAACTTTCAGAAGGTAGTCTTCCCCTCTACTGTAGGTGGAACCCAGATCATCAAGCTGGTGTGGCAAGCACCAGTCCTCACCGGGCCATCTCGTGGGCCCTTTGTTTTTGTTCATTTTGGTAACAGAATCTCACTATGTGACTTAATGCTGGCTGGCTAGGAGCTCATTCTCCATCCCAAGCTGGCAAACTAGTGGCAATCCTCCTGCCTCGGCCTCCCAAGTGCTACTATTACAGACATGTGCCCGGGCCCAGCTTAGACCTGAGACTTTTGAGGAAGAGCGTGCATCTGGTTGGATGAGTGTTTCCAAGTGAAAAAACTGGAGGTGACCTCTAGAAGGGGTAAGCTCTGGCAAGTGGCTCTGACCCACCTGCCTCTCCCAGCCCTGAGCTCCCTTCAGCCAGCCCATAAAGTGATCGGCAAAGTGGGAAGAAGAAAATGACTGCCTCACGGGGTTTTGTGAGGAATGTAGGAGTTGTACACGGAAGATATGGAAATAGCTCCTGGCATGTAGTAAGAGCTCAGTAAATGTTAGCTGTTGCTATTCTTACCCATAAGTCTCCTTTCTACAAAGAAAGCAGGGCCAGCTTGCTGCCACCCCCAGCCAGGCACAGGTCCCTGCCGATGCTTCGACATTTCTTCTGTGTGGCTTCTGGCCACTGGATCTCTACCAAACGTAGCAAGGGGCAAGTGACAAAGCCAGCTAGCAAGCAGAAGGCCAGTGCTCACCCCTCCCACACATACCTCTTTGACCCTACTACTCCTCAAGGCCTTGGTAGCATCCAGGCCACAGACTCGTGCAATGGGCTTCTCTATCTGGACCAGTCCCGGTCTACCCGCTAACTACCAAGTTCAACTGGACACTAGCCATGTGCTCTCAGACACTGTCCCAGGTATACTATCACGGTAAAGGCAGAGGCTCTGAACTCCTACAGTCCCACACATTCCAGCTGTGTGACCTCTGGCAGGTAATCTGAGCCTCCAAGCATCTGTCAAAAGTGTCTATATTATCTAACAGGGTTGCTGGGAGAGGGCACAGAGCACTTATGGGGCACGGCACACACTAAATGCTCAGTTAATACCATCTCTCTGATTGTACAGTCACTAGTATAGGCTGAAATGGTCATCTCCCTTTAATAAAGAGTGCAGAGAAGTCTAGACAGTGGCCCACAGACAGTGGAGCTAACAGATAGATGCCCTTCCCATTGCAGTTTGTACAGTTAAGAGACCTTTTCTAACGCCCCAACAGCTCAGGTCCAGAATATCTGAACCCCCAGAGTCCTTTCCACTCCTCATACTCCAAGAGGACCCAAGGCCCTTTGTGACCTGGCCTCCACCGTTCACCTCATGGGAGAAGAGCTGGGAGGCAATGTGAGGGCCCTCCTAAAAGGGGGCCCCAGCCCCCAGCCTTTAACATACAGCCTTTAGCAGAGTGCTGTATGGAATAACAACCACAGCAGCCAAGAAGCAGGCCTTCGGGCAAGGACGAAGTCTTAATCAAAAGTTTCAGTCCTGAACACATTAGTGCCGGCTCTCTCAAGCAGTAGCTGTGTGACCTTGGGCAAGTCATTCTTCCATTCTATACCTTTACCTCCCTTTCTATCTTAACTCAGTGAGAACCACAGGGCCCAGCCTTGTTCTCATTCAGGGTTCTTCCGAAGGACCCCTTCAAGGGGAGCTTGGGTCCAGGGCACTGCCACAGGCCCAGGGAATGCTTCAGCAGGAACAAAGTCCTCCCCAGTGGCCTCCTCCAGGACTGCTTTCGGGTGTCCCCCACGTCCTAGGGACTGTGCTCTGTGAGCCATAAGTTGTATGCATCAGTGTCTGGGCAAGTGGGACCCCAGACTGGCCAACAGAAGCTAGCTCCATGACTGGCGGAGCCTCTCTGGGCCACCATGACTGAGTAGAAGCTGGCGCATGTCGCCTCTGCTACAAGCTCCATCTGGAGTCATGGATGGGAAGCAGGCACATAGCACCTCTCTTCTACATACCCTAGCCCAGAACAGGAGCCTCTGGGGCCACCATCACAGAGGCCAGACTGATGGAGCAGCGGACCCTGTCCAACCTCAGAGCGGTCCTAAAGGCAGCCCTTTCACACTCCCACCTTGGGGTGCAGGGGAGGCGACGTGACAATCCACAGTGACGGTAGGAACACGTGGTTAGTGTTCTCCCCCACCAATGCATCGCAGAGCTCTGGGGGAAGCAAGAAGCAAGAACCATGACTGCCCCCAGAGAGAGAGGCAGCAGCCTCAGAATGTTTTCTGGATGCTTGCTTAGCCTTCCCAAGATCCTATGGACTCTCTGGCCCACATAGCCAGTCAGTGGCTTCAGCACCCAGTAAAGACCTGTCCCCAAGACCCCAGCCTCTTGGAGACTCGACCTCTCCAAGTGTGAAGGTTCCAGGCACAACTGACACTCACGAGCAACCTACCTCTGATCAGCAGGTACAACTACCAGCAGGACAATGCCAGTCTGAATCCTAAGAGGTCCTGGGGGTAAGGTTCATATACCCAGCTCAGGGAGAGAGAGGAGGAGGGCTGGGGAGTCAACGCAAGTGGGGTCTGTAACCAGAGGATGAGGATGATACCGAGAACTCCCCAAGCAGCCAACCTCTAGCCAAGATATTGTCCTGCAGCATTGGAAAGCCTAGAGAAGAGGACCAGGGAACCCAACGAGGCAGCTGGGGTGGCTTTCCAGAACAGAGTGGGCCAGCTTCCTGAGCCCATCGCCCAGCAACGACTCATTCTACACCAAGGTGCCAGCCGACACCCCTGACTCCTGGCACTGAGGAGGCTGCAGAGGTGAGAGGACCAGCAAAGGTCTCCCCCGACACTGGCCAAGGGGGCCCGACAGCCTTCAGACTGAAGCTCCTCATCTCGCCCCATCTCCTCCCTGAGGGCTGGAAGCTGGGCCTAGATGTAGCACACCCGGGTTCCCCATGCCACCTGATCACCGGTCCCCACGTGCCTACCTGGGCCTGGGGGTCCCCATCTTGGGCCGGCTGGGCGAGGGCCGATCCCCTCGACTCCTCCGGGCCCGCAGGCCGCGGGGCGGGGCGGCGCGGGCGGGCTCTGCGGAGCAGCCTGTTCCGCGACACCCCCGCCTGCTGATGGATGCCGACTGCAGCAGCGGCGGCAGCCGCGGCGGTCGGCGTGCGCCGGGGGCTGGGCACCGTGCCCACAGCCCCGGGCCTGGCGCCCGCCGTGCGGCCCGCCCCCGCCGCGGCCTCCGTGCCCAGCCCAGGGGCGGCCGCGAGCCTGCCTCCTCGCTAGCGGCGCCCAACCCCTGCCTCCGCCTCCTCGGCTGCCTGCCTTGCCTCCCCCGCCCTTTCTCCCGTCCCCGCCACCCGAGGTCCACTGCGGGACGAGGTGGCCGTCTCCACCCGGGCCCTGGACGGACGGCCTTCTCGACCGATCGCTCGCGGGCTCTCCGGGCCAAGTCCTGGTGGGGGCTCAGGGAGAGAGGGAGGGGGAGGGGAGAAGGAGGAGGAGGATCCCTGACTCAGAAGAGGTGACTCAGCCTCTGTGGGCCTCCCATCCCACGGAGTCGGATCCCCTTCACTCCCCTGCAGATCCCTTTTACTCCCCTGCAGCGCAGCGCGGGGCAGAACCCGCCTGGGATGTGGCGTTCCTCTCCCACTAGGGAACCCGCGTGGCAACTGCCTTCCGGGAATCATCCCAGCTTGCTGTCCCCTGGGTGTGCGTGTGCCCCAGTACCTACGTGCCTCTGTGACCATGACAGTAGTGTAACAGCAAAGGAATCCTGCAGGGGTTGGACCTGTATAAAGGTGTTTACTATACACAAGGACACACCGTGGTGTGTGCAGCCAGATTCAAAGGGGTCACAGAGGTCATGGCTCAAAGCCAAGCTAAACCCTGCCCCTCCCCTCCAGCAGCATGTTACAACTCAAAAAGCCAGTTCCACCAGGACAGCTCCCTCCTATCCAAGCGTTTGGCAGCCACAGAGCACTCTGGAAAAGAGAGGGCCTGGGTTCCGATCTAGTTCTGCTACTGGTTCAGCAAGTACTCTTGGCCAGCTGCTGCCATGCTCTAGGCTTTAGTGCGGAAACCATGAAAGAAAGGATAGATTGAGACTAACCCTGTCCCCGGGCCCCAGTTGGTGAGGAAGGCCTGGGACTGATGGCAGCAGCTCATACATGCTCACCAAAGACGGCTCCCACGGTTCTACAATGGTAACCCATGTGACCCTCACTCCTGGCCATCACCCAGGCGTGCTCAGGCCCTCTTTCATTCTTCCAACCATCTTGCACACCTACTATGTGTAGGTCACTGTTCTGGGCCATAGTGCTGGACATCCTGAAACTGTGAAGCCAAGCCACCTAGATGTGGTCTGAGGCCCCTGTCATCTACCCTCTCCACACACTGCAGTTGTATTAATGTTATCTTTAGTGTGTGTGTGTGTGTGTGTGTGTGTGTGTGTGTGTGTGTGTGTACCATCTCTGCTCAGCTTGTCCCACACCCCCTCCCCAACCCCTGTCTTTCAAGTAACACTAGATCCTATCCCAAACCTGGAACTCTGTAGGCTCTGCCCTCTCCCAGCTCTCCTTCGGGGATCCAAGGCTCTGGCCTTTGCCCCACCACCAGCCAGGCCTTCTCTTGAGTGTAGACAAGTCCCTTCATCCGGTGCTTCAAGAGTCAGTCCCAGGACCTTGCTGCCACCTGCTATCCACTAGACTCAGGAGTGGGCAAGAGCAGAAAGACACTCACACCCTCCTCCAGATGAGAGGTGGAAAACAGATCCGCTCAAGCCAAGTGGGAAGGGCTCCCTCACAGACCCTATATCCTGGCCTCCCTCACCCAGGAAACCTCACACAGGTCCTTAGGAGGACGGCCTCTGAGCAAATTGCTGACCCTCAAGAGTATACACTATTTGAGTTCAGTGTTCGTTTGAATTAACGCCTGGAACAATCTGCCAAACTCAGGAGTGACTTCAGAGGGACTTGCTCTGTGGGCACATTTGTGGAAAGGGCCTCCCTCCACTGCCTGCCTCTCGGCATTTTGCTTCCAAGATAACCTTTCCTCTTCTGCCTCCTCAACCACAAGCTCCCAAGGCTGCAAAGCTAAGGCCCTCCCATTTCTCACAGTTTAACTCTTTCCCAGACACCCCCTCTCCCTTCCCCAGACATCACTGCCACCCCCGGCCTTCCCCTGGGGCAGAGCCTGGTTCCCAGCCTCCTTGGCCACGTGGAGCCTCTCACTTTCCCAGGAAAACCGAGGCTACTTCAGGACCAAAGCAGGATGTTCCCAGACTTCATTTTGGATTCATACCCAAAGGGCCCAACTCACTTCCGGTCAATGGCAACATGCTGAAAGTTGGGTAGCTTCTAGAATGACGTTTGTTTCTATTTCTGTTGTTTTTATCATTATTTTCTGTGATTATTTTCTATCCCTACTATTAGTACTCTCCAGTTTGCAGAATACTTGGTTTCACAGCATCGTTTGAGTTAACGTCACTCCTCTCCCCAATTTATAAATAAGTAGTCAAGGCCTGGCTGGAGTGGTGAGTGATTTGGCCAAGGTCACTCTACACAGTTATGCGGGCTCTCTGGACCAGGTCCCTTCCACTTTCCCCACACCATTTCTCCAGAGAAATGACAAACAAGAGACCGCGTGGGGACTGAAAAGAATGCATGCTTCTCCAGGCATCACTGAAATCACGACCCTGTTACTTTTCTGCTTCCATTCCCCAAGCAGGGAAATTGAGGCATGGGATTGATTCACTCCCACCATGTATCATGAAAGCCTCCATAGAGAAACATCAGGGATGGTGGTGAGAAAGGCCGTCGCCATCGTCGTCGTCAGATGTGAATTAGTCAGCTTCCAGCCCTGGTTCTGGCTCCCCCTGCTGTTTAACATGCACAGGTGGTCTGACCTAGCTGAGCCTCTGTTTAATCACCTCTAAGGTGAGAGGAACCCCTGCTGCACATCTGTTCCTGGGTCGCTGTGATGGGAGTTCAGCAGAGGCTCGCAGAGGAGGGAGGACAGAGTACTGGAACTCCCCCCCTGCTCTGCCTAAGGAGGAGGAGAAAGTCTTTTCTCTTAAATTTTAAAGATAAGGGGACTTGAAGGTGTAGAAGTCCAAGATCTAAGAAAGCCAGGACACAGGGAGAAAGCAGAGCACACAGCATCAGCTCCAGGCCTCCAAGATGACTGAAGGGTCAGAGACTCCACCAAACATCACACAGGACTCCTCCAAACACCCTTTGACCTTTCAGAGGAGGAACTCAGGCCCCAAGCAAAGCAGAATTTGCCAAAGCTACCCCCAGGTAGTTAAGAGTCTAAGGGTTCCATCCATCATCCAGGGCTTCTTGGTCTGGTAGGGAGACGGGGAGGGGTGAGAGGTGTTCTCAGTGCTGAAACCCGAATCTTTCATTCAGTAAGCAGTGATGCTTCCTCCGAGGCAAGCCCTGGACACCAGAGAAGGAAGAACTGGGGAGTGTGACCTTGAATTCACAATGGTCCAATGGGTAAGGACAACACACAAGCCAGCACATCAGAGGGTGTCATAGATCAACCACTCTGCCACTTGCCGAGCACTTCCCCGAGCCTGGCACTAGACACACATTCATGTGCTTAATCCCCGAAACAATTCTCTGGCCCTGAAATTACTAATCCCTTTCACAGCTGAAGTGACTGAGGCTCAGAGGTTTGGTGTCTTTCCAAAGCTCACCCCGCTGATAAATGGCGGGACTAGAATGTGATGGCCAGAGCCAGCTGATGCTAAGCCTGGAGCTTCAGCCCTCACAGACTGGCTCCCCCCAGCCTTTAGGTCTGTGCTAGTCAACACTGGAGCCGCTGGCCACAGGTGGCTATCAACTACCCGAAATAAACAAACGGAAACGTGCAGTAAATGTAAGACAAATGGTGGGTTTTGAAGTCTGAGTACTAAAATTAAAGAGAATGTTATGTATTTCAGTCATTCTTGTATTAATATTATGAGATCAGGCATGCTGGTATGGGATCCCAGCACTTGAGAGATGGAGGCAGAAGAATCGGGAGTTCAAGGCTAGCCCTAGCTACTACCCCAAAATAATTAATTAATTAAAAATTACAGATGTATCAGATTAAATAAAATCTCATTAGAATAATGTCGTGTGTGTGTGTGTGTGTGTGTGTGTGTGTGTGTGTGTGTGTGTGTGTTGCTAGGAACCCAACCCAGGATCTTGGGCATGCTAGACAACTCTGTCCCTAAGCTATAACGCCAGTCCTGGCTTTGTGTGTATGTTGTATGTTTCTGGCTTTGTGTGTATGTTGTATGTTCCTGGCTTTGTGTGCATGTTGTATGTTCGTATGCATGTGTGGGTGTGCATGTATATGAGTGCCTGTGGAATAGATCAGGTGCTCTCCACCTGATCTTTTTGAGACAAGGTCTTTTCACTGAACCCAGTGTTTGGACTAACCAGGCTGGCCTCAGAATCACAGGGATCCACCTCCCTCTGCCTCCCACATGCTGGAACTAAAGGTGTGCGCCACCATACCCAATCTGGTTCTGTTTTGTTTGGCGTTTTTGTTGTTGTTGTTGTTGTTTTGACATTAAGTCTTGCTATGCTGCCCAGCAGACTGGAGTTGAACTCCTGGACTCAAGGGACCCGCCCACCTCAGCTTCTCAAGCGCTGGGACTAAAAGCACAAAGCACGCACAAGCTGCTTTTTTGTCTTTTTAATTGCGTTTATGACTTGCACGTGTGGCTCACACTGTGTTTCCTTTGGTCAGTATGGACTTTGATACTCTGCAGTCCTTACGGAGCCCACGGAGATGAGAAAAGGTATCTTGGAGGAGGGGGCGGCTAAGACACACTGGATTAAAACAGAGGTCTCACGAGGAGGGTATTTCAGGGCAAGAGATCTGCAAGACATCCGGCTCTGGCCCCAGAGGGCAGCAGGGCCTGGGTGGGCTGAGCTAAGCCCCAGGCAGCTGAGAGCTGGGCCAGAGGGAGGAAGCTACTGAGGCCAAACTTTCCAAAGCAGCATGTCGTGTCCCTGTGGGCTTGGGAAGCTCAGCCTGGCAAGGCTGCTCTCCCTCACTGCTGGCACTCACAGACGGCACTGCGGGGCAGCTGGGTCCGAGCAAGCGAGCGGAAGGAGAAGGCAGGGTTAGATGAACAACAGCACAAACAGGCAGGGGCCCTCCCCTGCTAGCTGCTCCCTACCTTCTTCCCTCTCCACTCCACCAGGAAGCCTCCCCAAAATGCAATCCCCAAGGGTCTCACCTCCCCTTGAACCTTGGCCTAGATTGGGAACTGCATGCTCCCACACAGAGTCTTTGTAGACTGCCACTGATGCCCCGAAGCTCACGGCAGCCCATGAGTATAAAGCACTAACTAGTCCACAGCTAGTGTAGCATGGTGAAGAGCGAAGCTACCCCAGTGAAGGGCTAGTACAAGATGGAGGCACTCCTCGGTACAGGAGCTCCATGACCTTGGCAAAGCTTGACCCCAAACCTGGGGGTGCTATGGGCACTGCCTCTTAGCACTGCTACAGGATGACAAGGCCCCCACTAAGGGGGCCTGGCAGCTCAAATGCTCTCCCCTACCACAAGTGAGCACCTCAGCTACCTCTCATTACCCTTGGTCTCTCCCAAGTCTACATATGCTCAAGATTGCATTCCTTCCAAGGAAAGCCACCCCACCCTCACCCCCGCACTCCCTCTCTGCTTCCTCCATCCATGCCCCACCCAGCCTAGCACGCCTTCTCTGCCTGCCACATCCTTGCCTCCTTCTATCTCACTTCTGATTCCAGGCTCGGTTGTCAAAGAGGCACCCTGGCTTCACAACCCTGCCTCCTCTCACGGGCAGGAAGCTTGCCCCCCACTGCCATCTGCATACCCACAACCAAGCCCTGGACAGAGCTGGGCATCCCCAGGGCATGCACAACTGACTACTATTGCTGATCTCCAGGGGCACATCAAAGGGCAGACTCTGCTCACCTTCCCAGTGAAGAGCCTTTAGCAGCACCTCAGCCTCTGATGAAAGAACTCACTTCAGCTTGACTCTCGAGACCTTTGCCAGCCTGCCCTCTCCTTGGTGCCTCAGCTTCAGTCTCAGAACCTACCTGATGGGCTCTGTCACACTGATGGTTCTGGGTCCCCAGGGTACAGTAGCTCGGCCACAAGCTTGCTTTCACACGTGTTTTTTCCTCTGCCTGGACGAACTTTCCCTTTCCCATGGTCATTCTTCTAGTCATGGCCCAGGAAGTCCTTCCTCATGCCCTCCTCTCTGCAACAACCCCCTACAGCTAGACACAACATTGGCCTTTCCCCCTCCAACCAGCACTGCCCACTGGCCCTGGCTTATGTGACTTGCAGAAAGCCCTTAACCTCCTGATGCACCATAGCTTTATGAGAGAAGCTACTTTGCATCTTCCAAACCAGGAGGGTCCTTCTTGGTGGTCATATGAGCATAGTATGGTCACCTTCACCCCAGAGCCAGAGGTCCAGAAGCAAGGGGAGTCAGGAGTTCACCAGAATGTCAGGACACCCTGAGGATGAATTCTGCCATCTCAATTTCACCTTGGCTACAGTTCCTTCGGGAGGCTCCATGCATACTTCCAGTCACTGCCTGGGAAATCTGCCCTCCTCTAGGAGTCTGGGAACCATGCTATGGGGCCTGAATATGAAAAATGTGGCCAAGTTCCCACTGGATACAGACTGCCACCCTGCCTGCCATCAGGAGCCTGAAGCGTCAGCTGAGGTTTTGTTGTGGTGGCATCACAGGTTCCTTGCAGTCAGAGGAGATCTCAGAGAACATCACACAGAAGCTATGAGGAGGGGGGGAGCGATGGGAGAAAAGCTGTCCGTTTGCCTGTGGTCCTGGTGTGAGATGAGGCTGCAGCGTCACTATCCATCAGCATCATCTTTGCAGAGTGCTAGGATCCCCAGTTACAGGCTGGCACAGTGCCCAGCAATTTGCCTCCATTTTCTATCCTAAATCTCTCGCTACCCTGTAAAGTAGAAATTACATATCCACCTTGATTTTACAGGGGACAAAACTGAAGTCACTTGTCCAGAGTTCCTTTGATAATGGATAGAGGACCCAAGATTCGGCCTCAGACATACCTAAACCTGGAGTTTGTGTTTGTCCCCTCATGACCCTGCACTCATTTGGCTGAACACAGTTACTGGAAATGCTGAGACAAGAGACAACCACACAGAGCACGTGTCAATTTGTGATGCACTTATGTGTATTTTTTTTTTTTTTTCGAGACAGTGTTTCTCTGTGTAGCTTTGCGCCTTTCCTGGAACTCACTTGGTAGTCCAGGCTGGCCTCGAACTCACAGAGATCCGCCTGGCTCTGCCTCCCGAGTGCTGGGATTAAAGGCGTGCGCCACCACCGCATTTTTTTTGTATCTATGTTATAACCATAAGGAAGTTTAATGTGTGTGTGTGTGTGTGTGTGTGTGTGTGTGTGTGTGTGTGTGTGTGTGTGCAGGTGTGTGAAAGTGTGCGGTGACAGATAAAGGACAGCCTTGGCTGTGCCTCTGAAGATGCTGTCCGCCTTGTTTGTTTTCGAAGCAGGATCTCTCACCGGATCTACCTGTCTCTTGCTCCCTGGAGCTGAGATTACAAGCATGCCAGGCTTATTTTAAAAACAAGACAAAAAACATGGGTCCTGGGGATTTAACTTGGATCTCCAAACTATCTCCTCAGCTCTAGAAAGGTGGTTTTGGTTTTGGTTTTGAAGCAGGGTCATACTATGTATCTCTGCCTATCTTGGAACTCACAATGTAGACTAGGCTGGCTTTGAACTCAAAGAGATCTGCCTACCTCTGCCTCCCAAGTGCTGGGATTAAAGGCATGAGCCACCAGGCCTGGCCTAAGAAAGAACATTTTTTAAAAAAAATGTTTTCTATAAGCTTGAGATTTTGGGGTGTGAAATGCTACTAAGCATTAGGGTCTCTGAAGAGCAAGATGTCGTCTATTTGTTTCTTTCCAATCATCTCTGCATTCAAATAAGAGCTGATCTGAAAACCTCATGAACTACCAAGCCAGGACAAACAAAATTCACCTGCTGCCCATTGCTCTGCTTACAAACATGTGCTTGCCTCCCAGTCTCCACCCTGGGACCACGCAGCCAATACTCCATTTGCACAAGTTGGCGCTGCTCGGCGGTCTTTGCAACCTTCTCCTCAGCCATCCATCTGCAGAGACCAGACGGCCAGACCAGCCGCTGCACCACCACCTAATCCCAGCTTTCGAAGGCAGCCAGGCAGTGACGTCTGGGTGTTCCCATCTACGTGTACCAGGCCAGGCTGGGTAGAGAAAAATGTCTGTGTGTAAACACAGCCTTCTGCTTCAACGGCTCCTGCTTGGACTCCCCTGGCCAACAGAGCCCTCTGTGACTTTTATCTCCCTGCCCAAAATAACCATTGGCTTCTGTAATTCTCTGGGCATGGATCAGACTGGTAGGAGCCTCAAGCAGCTTGAGGATAGGAAAGACACATTTTCATCTTTGCTTTCCCAGTGCACCAGTGCAAAAGTCTGTGGCATTTATCTAGATCCTCAAGATACTTGGAAGGGACCTATGGTGGGAAGTGAGAGCTTGCTATAGGAAATGGTCACATGATCTCAAAGCTAACAGTTCAGTAGAAAATAAAATAGGGACACCAGCCAATTGCAGCAGAATACAGAAATCAGGAAAGGTACAAAGGAAAGGATGATGCTTGGGGGAATTCGGAGGGGAAAGAAATTGGAGAAAAGCAGACGTCAACGGCTTTAAGGAAGCCTTTGGACTTGGACCGAACAATCTGAACTAAAAGCCTGCATTAAAAACAGGACAGTGAGAAAGGACAAGGTAGGCGCAGGAAACTGGGCACATTTGGCTTGGCACTTGGGATGCTGAGCATTGACGCCGTGCTGGAAAGGCAGATGGTGCCAATCAGAGACTTGAATGACATTCCAAGTGGTTTCCTGCCCTGTCTAGCAACTAGCCACATGCGATCTCTGTGAAAATGAAAATGTAAAATTCACAGCCGCGTGCACTGAGTGGTCATCAGACTCTGAGGATTTGAACCAGTCATCGTTGAAGAAATTTCTGCTGCACAGTGATGGGGACAACAGGAGGGTAGTCAGAGGACTTGGGGAAGGTGCGGGATCTGACTAGAGCTGGTTTGTGCCTAGAGGGTAGCGGAGGTCAGGAGCCAAGGTGGAACATTGCAATAGTCCAGAGGAGATCAAGAGCCACCTCTTGGGTAGTAGGGTGAGAGCTGAGAGGGTGGGAGAGCCTGACCACCTGAATTCAGATCCCCAGACCCCAGGAAAAGCCAGGCACAGAGGCATGTATTTCTCTAACTGCAGAATTGTGCATGTCTATAACCCCAGAGTGCACCTATGCGGTGGGGGGGGGGGGGACGGGGGAGGGGGGACGAGGAGACGGGAATCCCCAGACCTTGAGGGGAAGTTAGGCTGGCAAACACTACAGCGAAGTAGTGAGAGACTTTTGTCTCAAACGAGGTAGGCAGAAGGTGAAGACCCAAATGTGAGGTTGTCCTCTGACCTCTACATGTATGTTGTTGACATGAACGTGCCCATGGACACATACATACACATTACACGTACATACACACACTACATACACATACACATTACATACACATACACATTACACACACACATACTCACACACATATGTGCACGCACGCGCATACACACACACACACACACACACACACACACACACACACACACACAGGGAATAAAAGAATCATATCTCTTTCCTCCACTCATTTCTTGCTATCAGTAAGCAGAAGAGTGCTGGTTCTCCATGTGTTGTTCCTGGAGCAGCAGAATCACTTGGAACTCCTGGTGTGAGATCCCAGGAATCCACCCAGACCTACTGAGTCAGAAGCCAGCTCAGAGTGTCCATCAGCTCCCCTGTCATTATAATGAAGCTAAAATTTGAGCTCTGCAGTATAAATGCCTGGAGCCACACCACAGCTCCAGAGCATCCCTGGTCTCTGGAGTCAGAGGACCTGGCTTCACGTCCTGCCTCAGCCATTTAGTACGAGTGCTTAATGTTTGTGCCTCAGTTTCCTTATTACAACTCTATGTGGTTATTGTAAGGGCTAACAGAGGTAACCTATCATTTCTTAGAAAACATCCAACGAAGCCAGCATGGTGGCACATGCCTTTAATCCTAGGACTTGGGAAGCAGAGGCAGGCAGATCTCTGAGAGTTCGAGGCCAGCCTGGTCTACACAGTGAGTTTCAGGACAGCTGGAGAAACACAGTGAGACTCTGTCTCAAAAAAAAAAAAAAAAAAAGGAAAAAGAAAAAAGAAAGAAAATGTCCAACTAAATCAAGTGTTCAATGGACATTACTTAGAAGGCAGAGACAGGAGGACAGTGAGTTTGAGTCAGGCTGGGCTACAGAGTGAGACACTGTCTCAAGAAGAAAAAGAGGAGGAGGAGGAGAAGAAAGGGAAGGGAGAGGAAGCATCAGCAGTAGCAGTCCGGCATGGTGGAACACACCTTTAAACCCAGCACTCGGGAAGCAGAGGCAGGAGGGTCTCTGTGAGTTCAAGGAACAACCAGAACTATTAGAAAGAGATTCTGTCTCAAGAAACCAAATAAATAAATAAATAGATAGATAGATAGATAGATAGATAGATAGATAGATAGATAGATAGGGTTGGGTATTTAGCTCAGTGGTAGAGTGCTTGCCTAGCAAACGCAAGGCCCTGGGTTTGGCCCTCAAAAAAAAACCCCAAACATAAATAAATAAATAGATAGATAGATAAATAGATAAATAAATAGATAGATAAATAAACAGCATTTGGTTTCCTCACCTACAGCATGAGCAGGTTGAAGGAGCACACATCATAACATTTCAGGAGACATAATTTCCTTGAAACAACAACAAAAACTGCATGGTTTTCCCTTAGGAAGTGCACGTGGCATGCGAGCAGACGAGTGTACACTGGCGCCCTTACTGTGAGTTCAGGCAAAAGGAGACTTCTTGAAGCTCATGCATAGATCACCCTCTGGGTCCACAAGTACTTAGAAACATTGGCCTCGGCAGTCTCTAATAATGGTAATTCTGCTGTGTGTGTGTGTGTGTGTGTGTGTGTGTGTGTGTGTGTGTGTGTGTGTTGTATTCATATCTTAATTTAAAGGAACCCTTTCTATGCATGCACACATTGGAAAGTGTGTGTGTGTGTGTGTGTGTGTGCCCATACTGGCTTCAAACTTGCAAATCTTTACCCTGCAGATTCCACCAAGGAAAATTTGAAATGGGCTTTGGCGGGACACTGTTGTATACCAGATCATTGCTATGTTTTCTTCCCAGAACCTGTCCCAACCTGGCCACCCCACCTCCAGAGCTCCCCAGGCTCTTTCAGTGGAGAAACACACCATTGCCCCCTTTGCTGCTTCCCAAAGACAAGACAGATTGTTCCCAGGTCTGTGGAGCAGAAGGAGCAGAACCTGGCTTGCCTCTCATCCCCATCCGACTCCAAGTCCTTGGCTCAGAGGCCAACCAATAAAGAGACTCCTCAATCTGCCTCCATCCCAACTCACTCTCTGTCTCTTCCTCTCCCCCCACCCCCGCCTCCAATAACCAAGCCAATGGCTGTTACCTAAGGACACCTGGTAGGACAGTTATTTGGAACAGACAAGTTACTTTCAGAAGCCAAGAGACAGGACATGGGCAGTTCTACTGTTAGAGTTACAACTGCCACCAGCGGCCCCCACAGATCACTAACCACTATGTGAATGCTCTAGTGTGTCAACCTGGCCAGGGAAGCCATGCCAACTTCTAGGATGGATGGCTTGGATTGGTGACCATGCTTATCGTGGCAGGCAAGGCACAGAT